TTTTTTGGGGGGGAAGGAGGGGGGCGGGGGTCATTGCCTTTGCAAGCTGCTGCCCTGCCAGGCAAGCTGAGGGTGAAGGTACTGCAGGGACACGGGTCAAACTGAGGTGAATGTCCTTTACTGAAGAACCAGCACATGCCCAAGAAACTTGACATCAAACCACACATCATTTTTTTAGCCACAGACCTAAACGAAGGCTACCCATCACTAGCCCCTCATCATAGTCGATACAGGTTTTACAAACATTGTTTCTATCCAGATATCTTCCCCTTCTCTCTCTGCAGTTTGAAGGAAGCCTGCCCGACCCTCACAGGGAGGACTGGGCTGTTTGACCAGCACAAGGACAGGGTCAGAGTCATTAATCACTGCCATACTCTGCAGGTAAGAAACCCTCTCGGGACAAGGCAAAACCATGGCATGGCCTTGAACAACAGTACATCCAATAACTCTTCATTTACACACAGCCACTTCAGGTCACAGTGGCAGCAAAGGAGAATAAAGGCAATTTCTGGATGGGACATTGCTGTTAGCCAGGGAGTCTGGGTCTTTGGGGAARCACCTCCAGCCTTTCTGKGCTCCCTGCAYAGACAAGGGCTGGATGTCAGAGATRTGATCTCCATAGCACTMCCCTGGGAGCTGGGAGCTTTGTTTTTGCCCTGGTGAGGAGGTAAGCACAATGATGTAATGGCTGGATGATGTTTATTAGCCATCAGTCTCTGASCATTTCCCATATTTCACATTGTGCTGGAGAGGACTGATCTAATTAAAGGAGCAGGGAAATCTCCTGTAATTGCCTTAGAAAAACAATTTACTTCTACACACCAGCTCTCCTGTCCAGCAGCRGAGTCCCACAAGGACTGATCTGGGAACACACAGAGCCCCTGTGCTTCATTTTCTCATTAATTCCTAATAGCAGTGCCAGTCACAGCTCTGCTCAAAGCTTTCCAGGCCCTTGGAGAACTTTTTACTGTACTTATCCCTGAAGTTTACTCACACACAAAGCACAGGGTCAGCATTCAAAGAGTTCAGATACCTCTCCAGAAGAGCAATGTGCAAGTTTTGCTGTCATGAGGGCTTCAGAGATGTAAAGCATTTCAAATCCATTTGTTTTTAAAATGAAGATGAGATAATCAAGTCAGAAATCCCCTGCTTTGAGGAAACAACTGAGCTGGATGTATTGTGGTTTTAAAGTCATTTAAAGACAATGTCACAACTCACAGAAGAAGCCTGACAGGTGACACTGGGTACTGCTGTTACACGATGCTGCCGTCACACTCCAGCAYGGGAGGAAGTGATTCCTGCAAATGGCTCACAGAAAAATTCCCCAAGCTTTATTCACTGCAGGTAATTGCACCTCAGTGGGTCATGCAAGTTTCCCCATATGACCAATCCCAATTAAATATATGGCACTGGTCACATGAGTGAAGTTACCCACGTCCCCATGGCCAGGATCGGGGCTGCTAATCACCCTATCGATTCCAGCTGGATTACTCACAGAACAAATGGGAATCGATGGGAATGAGGATGTCAAACATGGTCCCAAAGTCAGAAAAGTGCTTAAATATCCAGGAAACAGGCACTTGGAGATGGAGTGGCTGTAGAGTCTGCTAGGAAATGGGCTATGTGAGAACACTACAATGCACAGGCTGCTCTTCAGATGATTTTCCAAAATTAATTAATCTCCACGAGATTAAACATGAGAGAGTTGAGGAAGCATATGGGAGAAGCAGGTTGGGTTTTGAGCTTTTCAGGGCTGCACTTGTTCTCCCATCACCACCATATTTAGGCAACACCAAAAGTGGTGCAACCCTAATTCTGATCACAGCCTCTTTAGAGCACACTGACACAAATGAGGTGACAAAACCCAGCTGCTGGTTTGCCCAGACTTGTGATAATTTAGAAGTGGAATGAAAATACCTGTGCTGGTGATGACCTCACCACTTCCCCATCACATCATGCACATGATGCAAATTATGACTATCAATGCCTATAGGATTATTAAGTAATACATGTCATGTTCAGGGGAGATTTTCCCACTAAAAAGGCAAAAGGTTGTACCATGCTCTGTGTTTATTAAAAAGTACCAAAAAAACCCAAAAAAACAAAAAAACAAACAGGTCTGTTTTACATAATGCCATTGTTCCTACTGAAGAATGTGACAGAAARGTGCCCTCCACATCTGTCCCACCTMCCCTGTCTGTCCCTCTGGAGTCCTTTCCTCAYTTCATCCATGCCCTCCCACATCCACATGTATAAACGTCCCTCTTTCTTCCTTCTTTGCTACCTCCAGGACACCACCCATGGCTCTCTGCCTGTTCTCTGCAGTGACACCTCACATCCTCTGAGAACCTGGCTTTGCTGTTGGCACAGCTTCCCGCCTCTAACAAAAAAAATGTCTGTGGATCCTCTACCCCAGCAGTCCCCACTTGCTCCCTGTGGGGCAGTTGGGATCAGGAAGCGGGTGCTAGGACCAGATCCACGGGTGCATCCCTGGCCAAGGATGCTGCTGCTTGCTCACAGTGGGTGCCTCTCCGGAGCATGCGGTATGTACCAAGTTCCACCTTGTGGTCACACTGAGAATGGGCTTCTCCAGCAGCAAACCTCCTCCTCCTCCTCTTCCTTACATTGGCTTTTCTTGCCCTCTCCCCTCCCCAGGGTGCTTGAGAGGTCCTGCTGAGCTGGAGCAGAAACCATATACATTTCACCTTAAAATTTCATACAGGAGGAGTTCCTCCAAGTCTCATGTTTTGTTGTCTTCCAAATCACTGCCTAAAGCCTCCCTCTGCCCTGTACATTGTCTAAAAGCATGTGACAGGATCAGCACCGTCACTCTGCCCAGCATTTCTCAGCCCCACTTTCTCTCTGTATCCTTTGGCTGTCTCACCCTGTCTGAAAGGTCTCTGGCAGGGGAGTGGCCCCTTCTGCAGTTCTGACAAGTCCACACAGCCCACCTTTCCCCAAAACAGGCTGGTTATATGCAGAGTGCCCAGTGGGAAGGGCTGCAGGCCCATCACCCAGAGCAAGCCATCTGCCAGCTTGCTGTGGACCAAAATCAGGCTGGAGAATGTGCTGGCAGTTGAACAGTGCAGAGCCCTGGCCCTGGTTTATAAACAAAGCCAGGCTGTCTGCTCAGACATTTCACAGACAGCCCAAATCATGACCTTTATTTATGAAAACCTTCATACATCTCCCTGCTAGCCCAGGTCCCTCACAGGGAGCTTGGATCMGTGCAGGAAAAAGGCTGTGACCTATCAAAAGCTGCTGCCCCATGCTYTTGATGAAATCCAGGTAAAACAAAACACCCAACTAAAGTTTGTCRCACTTGGGAAACTCAAAACCAGACCGAAGGTTTGGTTTGATCCTTCCACTAGTGCCTTCATCACAGTGCACATAGAGATTTGGCTGCAGAGAGAGAAGCACTAAAATGAACACTGGCTTACAATAAATTACAGCTATTCCAGTAGCTGGTGTGGAAAGGAAGTAATTGAAAAGAAGGATATCAACTTGATGGATAGGACCAGGATTAACAGCCAGGAGCATTCAAGCAGCTCAGTTGCCAAAATCATGTTTCTGGGAACATGCTGATGAAGGTGTTCTCTTCATAAACTCAAAGTCACTTGTAGGTGGGTCCCAGTCTCATTTTTTGTAAGACCATTTAACTTTTCTCAATGTTTTCTTCAGGAGCTGAAATGTCTTCCATAGGCAAAAGGCAGGTCATTCTCAACATTCTGTAGCAGGGCAAAATTTGTGCAACAATTAAATTGCACAACTGAATTATGCAAAACTAGGGAAAAATCCTTTTTTTTTTTTTTCTTTCCCCTGGAATTTCTGTAACTCTAGCCAAAACAACCATTGAGACTTGTCGTGTGGTACCTCAATAAGGGCTCTAAAAGTACCATGTGAGGGGCAGCCCAAGGTGTGAAAATTTTGCCACACACTGTTTCAGCTGGCTCATTTAAGGTGTGGAAGTATTTCAGTTTAGAAGCTGTGTCAAAATCTTCTCTGCCTGCATAAAGGAGCAAAAGAAACCTCTGTGTCTGACTAAGTTCTGCAGCCTGGTAGGATTGGCAGAGTGAGGACTGAGACCCTCCACCCACAGAAAGAACCTCAGAGACACATGGCTGGGGATCAGCCTTGCATTATTTAGATATCTACAGTGCAACAAGGGGCTGGGAGAAGACAGGATACAATCCTCCTGTCTAGATCCCTGTAACTCTAAAATTTCCTGCAGATACCTGCACTGACCCAGCTGAATCCCACCCTAGGTGATCAAATCTTCAAGTGTTTATCTGCAGCTTTCCTTCCAAAACACACGTTTAAATATTTTAATATCCCTGTAAAGGAGACTATACTTTGCTCCCAAATCACTGACACCTTTGGCTCCCAGTGCTGCCTGTCCAGACAGATGAGATTCCAATCCTGCACAAACTATTCCCTCCCACACACCTCTCTCTCTTGCTTTTCCCTGTAGTTGGCTGGATCCTTTCMCCTCTGCTACCTGCAACATTTTTCCAAATGACTGAACTTCCTTCTTCTTTCATTTCTTCATTAAAATCTATTTTCCCCCAAGCATCTTCTTGCTCTGTCTTTGCTGCTTTTGGGCCTGATGGGGCATTACACACTGGCAATAACATCAGAACCAACTATGGGCTTTAGTGTTACTAAGACATTGCTCAAATTGGAAATTTAGCAACTTCTGTATCAACATTAAAAAGACCCAAAGTAAATTTTACTTGTCCTGTCTGAAAAAGGGACAGGTTGACTGTTTAGTGTACTSGGATATTGCAGTATCCCAATTTTTCCTGAGCTACAGGAAACACCATGGCTCATAAAACTCCCACAGAGTGCATCAAGCACAACCTGCATCAAAGATGTGTGCTGGGAGCATTTTGCTGCTAGGAAAGGAGATCAAAGTCACCAGCTGCTCCAGAGCAGATCCCAGCTGATCCC